TTACACCGCCCCCGCTGCTAATGAGGCACTGTCCTCGGCGCCTGGTCTAGGGCATAAATATGCTGCCCCTGCTTCTAATAGTGCCCCATAATAGCTAGTAGCGAATGCTAAATCGGTTAACTGAGGAGCAGAGGGATCTGTCATCTGATCTGGTTCTAACTGGTTGTAATACATATTACGTAAGACAAATATAGCGGGGAATCAGATCAAGACGATTGGTGCCGACCTTTCCAGGGCTGGTGGAATTTCGCGAAAGTTCCCAACAATGTCATGAGGCGGTGTAGCTGGACGCGATCCCCGACTTCACCCACTATTCCTTTCATCTGATAGTCGGGCATGTCCTTTTGGTGCCCACTAACCATGCGCAAGTTGGTGTTAACTATGCGGTGTAGATCTCCCAGATAGTTACGGGGAGTACGTATGTATGGTACATGTTCTTGAGCTTTTCAGAGTTACAAGGGCGTCTGTATCTCTAGGGAAATAGCGGGTGAGAACGCATGTACCAATGTATGGTAAGCTAGAAGACATTAGGGTAATACATCATTCCATAAATCAGTCGACGGCCGGCTGACGAATGACTTTAAGATGGCTTCTATAGTTCAGTTTGTTTTTTACACGAGGTCTTTAACCTATGGGTGATACGCAGAAGTGTATGCCTTCGTGTTTCCTAACAGCCGGCATATATGAGCGATGAGATGGCTTTCAAAGGCTAATATTTGATCGGAGTGAATTGAGAATCGAGAACTGTAACAGGAAACCTAATGATCAATGAAAGCTTGGGCAGCCTTGATGGCGCCTTGCTGAGGAATAGGTATTACTTCACAGCTTTTAGTAAAATGACCCACCATAACTAATATGTCGCGGTTTCCCTTTTTCGTCGTTGTCAGTGGACTTATGATATCAATGCGCACTTTCTGGTGTGGTCCTGTTGTCGTCATCCGAATGGACAGTGCACACCGTGTCTGCTGAGGCAATTTTATATAACACCATGTGTTACAATCCTTGGAAAACTCTATTAAATATTCATGTATAGCTGGCAGACGTATTCAGTCCTACGTTCTCCTGAATGAGTTTGTTCGCGATGCACCTGCTCCAGAATACTCTGGATTTCAACCCAAGGAACTATCTACAGGGGTTGTCTGAACTCATTAATTACGAATAAATTATTGCCATATAAATTAGGGTTGCTCAATTTGGTGCAAACACGATGAGCTGTTATGGATACACCTTTTATTTGCTTCATGCATGGATGATTGTTTCCATGTAACTGTCTTAGGCAAATAAGCAGCAGGTCTGCGTCTTGCAGATAAGGCCAATCGGCTTTCAGGGCTCTACTGAAAGTAGCAGTAATGGCGTTCGGGGGCTGAAGTACGTATGACTGCGCACCTGCCCTCGTAGGTCGGCTTCATGGTTGATATTTGCATGCGAAATCAAACTCATGTGCCAGCGTCCGACTTGTCGTCCGCGAGAAGACTTCGGAGTGCTCCGTGATCCGTGCCCACGCGAATAGGTTGACCCAGTTGATGGTGACAAATGTGTTGTAAGAACTTTCCCAATGCTAACATCTCTCCACATGTTGTGGAATATCTTGCCTCGCTCATCTTTGGTCACCGACTAGCGAACGACCAACTCCTGTCCACCCTGAGCTACTTGTGATAGGATCGCACCGACCCTCGAGGGACTAGTATGCGTATCAAATACGAATTCTCCCCCATCCGATAAGGCATCTTGGAAAGCTAATATTGTTGTAAAGTTCAAAAGCGCCTCTGAAGCATTGAACTCCTGTTGACACTCAAAATCCCATAAATGCTACCGTTCTTTGTGTCGATGGATGAAAAATCATGAAAAAGGTCTGTAATAAGACACGGGCCCCAGGAAACTACGAACGCCTTTGAGTGATTTTGGCCGCGATTAATTATTAATTGAGAGTGTCTTTTCTCTGTTTGTGCCTACCCCATCTACGATGATACGATATCCCAAGAAGTTTACTTCACTTCCGCAGCAGTTGGCATTTGGACGATTTTACCTTCGATTTGTGTTGTCTGAGGCGCTGGACAACCGCTATCACATTTGCAGTATGTTTTTCGGGTGTGCTGCCATACATTAAAATGTCATCAAGATAAATCAATCTTTTTTGGGGTACTATCACTCGTTAAACTGTTTGCATCAGTCTTCGAAAGGTAGCCTGAGCATTCTTTAAACGAAAGGGCATCACTTGAAATTCATACAGACCAGTTAGTACAATAAATTGCGTAATTTTCACATCTTGATGTGAAAAATCATCAAGCCCCTTTTAAGGCGTCTAATTTAGCATAGATCTGCGAAAGTGGAAAAGAATCACGCTTAGTTATAGCAACAAGACAGCGGTAATCTAAACAGAGTCTTAGATAGGAGTTATTCTCCCTCTTTAAATCAATAGGTGATACCCAGGTGATGATGAGGGGACCATTATCTTTTTGTGCAACATGTCTTTTATCACCCCATCCAGTTGTGTTCAGTAGTGTATCGGTACCGTTTGAAGTGGTTGCCGAAGGGTTATATAGTCTTCTGTGAGAAAAGAGTGTTGTATTGCTGTTGTCCTGTTTCTGGAGGTACCTCTCTGGAACACGTAACTAAATTATCTAAGTAGTGCAACGGTTGATCGGCGGTCATCTCCTATTACTATCTGGTTGTTCTTTAACTGACGTAAAATTTCTAAAATTCCCGCATGAGCTACAGGTTTAGTCGGTATGTCATAGAGTTACAGGTGTACCTTGGCCTAACCCATTTTTGCTTCCGACCTATCGATGCATATATAAACCTAATGTTTTAACACGAATTCAATGCTGCGTATCATGTCCAGTTTCAGTTTAGGGCAGACTGAGAATTCATCTAAAAACGGATGCTTGTCTAACGGTAATCCTAATAACTTATTATAGCACGCTTTCAGAGGGTCACCACTCCCTGTGATTAATGCAGGTTTTGGTTTTTTTTGGGTCTTATGTTTTAGTTTCCGTAAGAACACTTACATCTCGTGGTACTCCTAGTAGAATCCAATTTGAAGGCTTTGTGTTTGGAAAATCCCTCCAAGTATATATTTGTAATATCTTCTTACTGACTCTTTCTGTGCTACATTTTGGTACTCTGTTTAATCCCATTTTGTGATGTTAATATTTGCAATT